ACTTTCTATCACATTCATGTACTGATTTATACATTGTCTTCTATTCTTAAAATTTCTCATTATTTTTCTAAAGAATCAACTCCATCCAACCAAGGTTCCATGGCTTTCTGACTTTAATGGAAGTTCTCCTGCTAGGTTCTTAGTACTGTATAGCCAGCTAAAAGAAATGCTGTTGAACTGTAGGTGTTCTTGTATATTCAAAGGATGGGCAGACAATGGATCTTCGATAATAATTGAAATGTATCTGTTTAATATAGAGCAGTGGTTCTCAACTTTTTTAATGCCGCAACCCCCAACCGGTCGTAATTCAAGGACTACTCAACCGGTCGTAAGTCGAGGACTACTCATCTGGTGCAGCACCATTTGCAGAATGGGACTTTTGGCGGGCTCAACAGGGCAGAGACAGCCTGGACAATTCCTATTGGCTTTTGAAAGCCAATAGAATTAGACTCTATTCAAGAGAGTCTATTCTATTGGCTTTCAAAAGCCAATAGAATAAAATGGAGTAGCACAGCTAAGGAAAAAGGGAAACAAATGGCGGACTACATTGTTTGGCGACCCCCGTGAAATGGTCGTTCGACCCCAAATGGGGTCCCAACCCACAGGTTGAGAACCACTGATATAGAGTGTGTTGTTGGACACCAGTGCATTTTTCTACAACAAAATTTTATTAATGCCCTAAAAAATTGAGTACCTCTTAGTACATGATATACCCTTGATAATCAAAATTATATAAACAAATAATGTGCATGGTATATAAAGTTTCAAATACTGATAAACTGAAGCATTTCACAACAGCATTCCAGGGGTCATAGAGTACTTATTTACTGCAATTTCCCATTCTACATAAACTTCAGGAAAAACCACAGCAGTGTTTTTTTATTAAAGTAATTCTAATATCAAACTTATTAACACCATATTTGAGCTATTTATCTAGCATGCCAGGTGGTGGTGAATACTACTGGGAGATCTTCCTCCTTGTGGCACTTCCCTGCCTATCAGGAGCCAATGCAATTCTGTTCCTTCAGTTTCTTTAAAGGCTCTTAAACAGTTTTCTCTTGAACTATTTAAAACAAAAATACATTTGAAACATGGAGGACTAAAAACTAAAGAAATAAATGAATACCAAAAGCAACATTATTCCCTCTTACTATATTTGGTAGGTCTTTCACCATAGTCACAATGTACTGATAGGTTTATTCTACTAATTAAAAAAAAACTTGGAACATTAGACCAGCCCATTCTTGTATTTATATCATCTTGAAATTATTTTGAATTCCCTTCACTAATCAGAATATGGAGTTTTTGAGGGAAGATCTTTCCTTGCCCATTCTATGGAAGCTAAGCCACTTCTACTCTATCTTACCAGGTCTGCGTTCATTGATTTTGTCTAATTACTGAGGAAGGCAATCTTTCCCCCTGTTTTAAACTACAGATGGTCAGCTTAATGACCACTTGTTCGGTGATTATTTGAAATTGTGAGGTATTGCATGAGAGGTATTTATGTCTGCTCCTCAAAGTTCTATTACAATCTTCTTTACTGGTTTTTTACAAGCAAGGTTAATTGTGAAGTTGGCAGGAAGTCGCAAATGGTGACCTTGTGACATCCTTGCTTAACGACTGCATAGAATTCACTTAAAAAGGTAGCTTTTTTATAAATCCTTTCAATAAATAAATAAAATTTACAATCACCATTTATTTTTCACTTTATTGCCAATTTTCTGTCATTAGCACTTTGCCTTTTTGGGGTTCCAAAAATGTAATTAACAGGTTCTGCAGCCTGGAGGAGTTGAGAAAACATATTTTCCAAAACATATAAATAATTCTTTTTTTCTACTTTTTCTCTGTAAATTTTAGAACTTAACAGAAGTTCACTCTCTGAAGCATTTCTTTAAAGGAAATCTTTTAATAATTTGTGAATTTGTTCATACTCTCTTTTGAGATAATAATTTCCTTATATCAGTAAACAATTGTACAAAACTCTTATACCTATATTTTACACAACTTAAAACTACTGGAAAATTAATACTGTATTACGGTATACAGTATGTCATTGTTGCCAGCTGAAAAGTGAAATGCTGGGATCCAACCTCTTATAACTACAGCATCAGCCATTTTGAGATAACTATTTCTATTACATTGTTCTGCCTCCAGGGAATTTCATTTTTATTTTTGTAAAAACAATGTACACAACACACAAATGCATCATAACTTTAAATCACCACAAAAAGAAGTGCCTAACATCTTATCCTGATATTCATTACTTATTATATATTAATTCATTTTGTTGTAGTTCATTGATTCAGATTACATGCTATTAGATTCAATACGGACCTATTGCCTCCCTCCATCTCTCACATTAAAATTTCTCAGCAATTTTTCTTTCTCTAACCAGTCAGTTTTACAGCCTCAACTCATTTACATACGTTTTGCAATATAGATTTCATGCAATATATGAAGTTATTCTTGATACAATTATATAATTTTTATTTAATTGCATATTTTATTATTTGCATATTTTCTGTATATTATAAATGTCAAGCTAGTCATGATTTGGATCAGCTTGTATTTCAACTTTATCTAAGTCTCCAAAAACTGTTTTCCAATAATTACCAAGTAAAAGCTGTGCTTACTAAAACTGTGGAAGCACAAAACAGCATTATGTACTTTTATCCCAATACGTGAACATATTCGAATTGGGAGGAGCTTACCTTCATTTTAACTGTGGCAAAAGAATAGGTTTAACATTCTAATCATAGATCTTAGAATGTAACAGTAATTGACTTCAATAAAACCTACTTCATATCAACTCATAAATCACTTTTTACTATTAAAACATTCTAAGCTGAGTATACTAAAAATGTAAAAGTAAAGGTTTCCCCTATCTAGTCACGTCCAATTCTGTGCTTACTCTAAAGGGTGGTGGTCATCTTCCTTTCTTAGCTGAGGGATCCAGCATTGTCCAAAGACATTTCTGTGATCATGTATCCATATGATCATATACCAGGTGCATGGAACGCTGTTACCTTTCCACTCAAGTGGTACCTATTTATCTATTTGCATTCATGCTTTTAAACTGCTAGGTAGGAAGGAGCTGGGGCAAGGATAGGAGCTCAGGTCTCAAACCTCGGCTGACAGATTTCCAGTTGACAAGCTCAGTGTTTTTAACCGCTGAGACAATGCTTCCCCTAAGTGTATTAAATGCTGGGATAAACTATGCCATATTAAAAATCAACATTTGAAAGTGCATCTTCAATTTAGACATTTTAAAAATTAATAAAAAGAGTATACTGATTTAGCACAGCACCCACTTTCCATTTAATTTATTAAAAATGTACAACTTTGAGAAGGTATTGCAACTAATCAAAATCAAATGATAAGATAAGATATAAGATAACCTTTATTGTCATTTTTTTTTTACTGTGGGCACAACGGCACACATCAAAAATGAAATTTAGGTGCCTGCTCTCAAAGTGAACACATATATTGACACACACCTAACATACTATATACAACAAATGTATAGACTCACACCTACATAACAAATATTAAACACTGTCCATCTTGAAAATATAAAGGAAGGAGGAAGCTTGAATATGAACAAGTTGTTCCATTTTTATTTTAACCAATACACCAAATCTTTACCCAAAAATTTAAATTCAATACTTTTTATTTTCAGCTAAGAAAAAAAAAATATCAATTCCACTTTTTTGAGATACTGCCTAGTTGTAAACATCCTCAATTCTAATTCATGGATGACACAGGTCATCACAGCTTGTCACATAGAAGCATTTTTATAAAAAAAACATATTTTTTCTATATTGGATCATATAGTTTGATGGTAGGGAAAAGGAAATATTTAGCAAGACTTAGAATAAATGTTCCGATATTCTATGAAATACTACTTAATGGCTAGTTTTGATTGGTCAAGAACTAAAATGATATACAGAAGTATGTACCAGGAAAATAGAATCATCACATGTACATTTTGTTCAAATGTGTAAAATTTTATGTAAGCCAAAATGGATAATAAATACTTCTCATATATTTAGACACAGGTGCAATATGTAAAGGTGGAGGTGGGGAGATGATTCAGAACTGTTTGACTAGCAGGATTTAACGTGCACAGAACAGATGTTATGAGGTCAGTCTTTTCTATTTACACAAAAGTTTTAGCCACTTTTTGATAAGACAGATCTGGTATTAGAAAAAACATTCTGATGTGAAAAGACCAGTAAAGATACTGTATAGACGTCTGTCCCAATTAAAGAGTCAGATAAAAGAGAGAAACAGATTTATGCCCCTCCAGACTGCTTAAAACAATTTCCCCTTGCCTAGCTAGTTTCTGGTATACTGTAAGTAAATACTTCAGTGCAGAAGAGAGCCGTTCGGTTGGTTCTTCGCTGCTCTGACCCAAACTGACCAATTAAGAACCCATCTCCGACTCCCCAACACAGCAGCCTGGAAACAGGCCAAACCTGGCCAAGCTGTCAAAGTGAACCTCACCTTACCGCATTCCCCCCCCCCCGTCTTTCCACAGACGCGAATAAAAGCTCTTTTAAGAAGTGAGCTCACGATTCAGCTCTTCAGATCCACAAGCCGCCCGATCCCCATCTCCCCTGACCCAGAGTAGGATGCTGTATCGCGCAATCCTGTCACCGCGCCCTCCCGATGCCGTCAGCCGCTTCCTGCCCTCGGCTCAAGAGATCCTGAGGATCTGCCTCAGAATAGCCAAGGGCCCGTGGGGGGGGGGGGCATCAGCCCAATTCCCTCTGTTCGGCTACCGCCACCAAGATCAGCTCGAGGCAGGGGGAAAGCTGGCCTGGAAGGCGCGGCCTGCTTTCTCTCCTCCAACACAGGCCGCAACGCCAACACAGGTAGGTGGCGGAAGACCAACCCGCGCCCCCGCCTTCTTTCCACCCTCCACACAGACAAAAGCATCTTCAGCCCATCTCTCGTCCAGCCTTCTGCGGCCTGAACCTCCGGACGCAGCCACTTACCCGCTTCCCAAGCCAAAGGCCGAGAGGGCACCACCAGCGGCAGTCGCAATACACACGGTCTCGGGACGGACAGCTAGCCGAGCCAATCCCGCCCGCGGCCTTGGCAACGCCGACCAATCCCGGCTCTTACCTAGCCGATAGGGGCCAATCTACGAGGAACGTAAGAAAGAGATTGGATGGAACAGCCCGGCTCTCTGTGGGCTGGGGGGTTTGCGGATGTCTGTGCCCATGCTTTTCCCGGGCCCTCGCCGCTTCCCTCCGCATTTGCGACTCCGCCTATTCGGAGCAATGCATAGCCGCATCCCGTCCTCGCCTCTTGGCAGGGCACGGAATTCTTTCCTCGTCTCCTCCCCTTCCCGGGACGCCTAGAGAGGATAGGCGGCTGGCTGTCATCTGAGCCCGAATCGCAGAACCGAAAGGGGCCATTTTGACCAGTCCCGGCGAAATGCAGGAATACAGTTAAAAAAAAAAAAACCCGCTGTCCTGCAATGAAAAACCCTTCAGCTGCCTAGGTAACTGGCTCCACTGTCAAGTTCCGAGTTAGGAAGTTTTTCTTGGTATCTAATCAGAGTCCGCCTTCTTATAAATAGTGAAAATAAAAAACACTATTCCGTGTCCAACTCTCTGGGAGTTGAAGAACATATCTTGATCGGTGTGATTCTCTTTCAGGTATTTGGGGAGTGCTGCCTTATTTCCTTTCCCTGTTCTCGATCAGGCCGTCTTGACCAATAGAGTTGGCATTGTCCAGCAGCAATTCTCCGGTGATTCAGGCAGGAGTTTTTCCAGTGCCCTGTGTTAAACCAAAAGAAACAAATCTTTATAAAAAAGGCAATAACATATCACTGGAATCCACTGCTACAAATCAGGAATAGATTATTCTTGAATATTAGTGGACCAGAGGAATGCTGTGGATATAGTTTACTTGGACTTCAGTAAGGCATTTGATAAAGTAGATCACAACCTACTACTTGATAAGATAGAAAAATGTGGGTTAACAGCATCACCATCAGATGGATCCATAGCTGGCTGACTGGCTGTACTTAGTGTGGTCCTCAATGGAAACACATCTACATGAAGGGAAGTGTGTAGCCCGGGGTGCCCAAGGGCTCTGTTCTGGGCCCAGTGGTCTTCAACATCATCAATGATTTGGACGATGGGGGTAGATGGGGAACTCATCAAATTTGCAGACAACACCAATCTGGCAGGAATAGCCAATACTCCAGAAGATAGGCTTAAGATACAGGAGGATCTGGACAGACTTGAACACTAAGCGCTATCTAACAAAATGAAATTCAATGGCGAAAAAAGTAAGGTTCTACATTTAGGCAAGAAAAACCAAACGTTAGTATAGGTGGTACCTTGTCCTAGTGGATAATCACTTAAATATGAGCCAACAGTGTGCTACAGCTGCCAAAAAAGCCAACACAGTGCTAGGCTGCATTAACAGGGATAGAATCAAGATCACATGAAGTATTAATACCACTTTACAATGCCTTGGTAAGGCCACACTTGGAATACTGCATCCAGTTTGGTCACCACAATGAAAAAAGATGTTGAGACTATAAAGAGTATAGAGAAGAGCAACAAAGATGATTAGAGGATTGGGGTCTAAAACATAAGGAATAGTTGCTGGAATTGGGTATGTCTAGTTCAGTGGTGGCAAACCTATGGCATGGGTGCCAGAGGCGGCACTCAGAGCCCTGTCTGTGGGCACGTGTGCCGTCGCCTCAGTCCTAGGCCTTCAGCTGGGTTTTATAAAACATTTTTGCTTTAGGCGTCTGCCGCTGTGTACAAAAAAAAAAGGTTCAATCAATCAGTCAATTTCAACTTCTCGTGGGAAAAAAAAAGATCTTGCAAAGTTGGAATTGATTGATTGAACTTTTTAGTCCCACCCACTCTGCTGTTACCACTGCAGCCATGCCCACCCAATGGTCCACACCCACCCAGCACCCGACGATGCATAAGTGGGTTTTGGGTTGCAGTTTGGGCACTCAGTCTCTAAAAGGTTTGCCATCACTGGTCTAGTTTAATGAAGAGAAGGACGAGGGGGGATGTGATAGCAGTGTTCCAATATTTCAGGGGCTGCCACAAAGAAGAGAGGGTCAAGCTATTCTCCAAAGCACCTGAAGACAGGACAAGAAGCAACAGATGAAACTAACCAAAGAGAGAAGCAACTTAGAACTAAAGAGAAACTTCCTGACAGAACAATTAATCAGTGGAACAACCTGCCTCCAGAAGCGGTGAATGCTCCAACACTGGAAGTTTTTAAGAAAAGACTGGACAGCCATTTGTCTGAAATGGTATAGTGTTTCCTGCCAGAACAGGGGTTGGACTAGATGACCTCCAAGGTCCCTTCCAACATCATCATCATCATCATTATTATTATTATTATGATGGCCAGCTTCCACACCTCATGCCCTAAATGTTTAATGTCTTGATAATTTCCCTATCCTGGTGTTTATTGAGGAACACATAGGATGATGTGCAACTATCAGCCTAAACAGTCCTATCAATTTAAGTCCAAAACGTGGCAAAAATAAAACAAGTCCAAGCCACCTATGTTCTAACTGTTTTTTCAATAGCAAGGTAATTTCATCCAAGTTTTTAAAGTGTCCACTCCACATACAGCCTGTTTGTGCATGGTGATTTTTCTTTAAATATTTCAGTGATCAAATAAGTCTTAATTTCAAAATCAGGCAGCTTTACATGTGAAGTAGGTGAAGAGACTTAAAAGAAACTTTCCTTCCCTTAACACCTAATTTAGCTTACAGTAAGAGTGCATAGTCAGGAAGAATCACTTTATACAGATTAATTTTCTGCCTGTGACTAGGACATCTGAAATAGACTCTGTGGCTTTGAAAATATGAAATATATAGAAGGTTGAAAGGCATTTTTCTTCTAGTATAAAATAATGGCAATTGGAAAACTGATGAACTCACCACATCATGGGAAAATCAAAACAAGTATCACCCTGATGTTACTAAGGGATATATAAATTGCCTTGTAGTAGGTCAAATTATTTAGCCATTGAGAAAGGTCTCTGGTCAAGATTGTTTAACATGAGTACTTGCAATCTGATGTTTGTTAACTTTTATTAGAGATCCAGAGATTACACTGCAGACCTACATGCAAAACAATTTTTCTATAAAACATGATAGTATTGCAACAATACCATAATATTTTCCTGCCTCTGCATTTACTTTATGTTTTCTTAACACATAAGGAAACAGCGAATATAGTTTTTGTTTAGTACAGATATAGTATGTAGAATTAGAAGAAGACATAAAAAGAAGATAAGAAACATCTCACTTCATTTCTCTGCGGCTGAATGCTATTTATCAAATTTGTAATAAAATTGAAGCCTTCTTTGACTCAGGTTCACTTCTGGTAACTCTGTATACATGCGTTTTCTTGGCAACAATGTAGGTTTGCCAGGCAACCCCATAGTCCTGGTACTCCCAAGAGTTGTCTCATTCAGCTATTAATCTGATCTGACCCCATTTCAGACACTGTTACATGACTGTCTAATTGGGCAAAAAAATAGCTTATTAACTTAAGTTTCAGGAAGACATAAATGGATGAAATTGTTAACCCTAACCCACCATGAAGGCTACCTCACCTTTTCCTGTTCCAGTTTTAAGGTGATGTTTCCTGCCTTTGGCCAATACAAACCTAGCTATTTGGATAATTTGTACAGTAATGCCTTAGGGTAAAGTTAGAAATGAGAACTTGCCCTGCTTTTATTGGCTTCCTAAGACTGCTGCAGGCATGTATATACGCCTCAATCTCTGATTAGTGTTTCCCAGATCCATATATCTTTGGGCAGGTGTGGGGAAAAAAGAAGTAGCTTTTTTTACCTCTTTACATACCAGCATCCCTAATAAAGTTGCCCCATCCACTCCTAGCACTGCTAGATGCATCAAAAACAGGTAACACTGAGTTCTTATGCTGTCAGTTCTCTGATCCCGGCCAACTGGTCAGACTAGAGTTAGAAGCTAATGTTACTGGATTGTGCAAATGGATCAGTGGCTAAAAATTCATTGGAGCTGATAATATAAGCATCAACATGAATATTAGCATTACCAAATAGGGAGATCTTGGTCTCATGACTCCAAATAACACTGTCCCATTGTTCCTCTGTCCAGGTAACATGGGTTTTAGCCCAGTTTAGTCTTTTCAACCTTTGTTTGAGAGATAAAAATGGCTTTTTTTGTGGAATTCTATTTTAGGCCAAATTCCTGCAGTCTGCGCCAAACAGTCTTTGCACTCACCTTCACATTGCGCCATTTCATCTTGCATACACCCAGATGATTTTCTTCTGTCATGTAGGCACAGTCTCTTAATTCTTCTATCATCACTTGCTGTTGTGCACCTTTCCCTACCTTTACCAGTGTGGTTTTGTAGTGACTGAGTCTCCTTATACCTCTTCAAAAACTTAGAAATGCCACTTTTAGTTAAGTTTCCACCAATTTTTCTTCTAATTTCTTTATAACTGTAGCCTTGTTCACTTAATAATACTATTTTACATCACTTTCCGGGCAACCGGTCAACTCTTTGCACCATTACTTTAATTATATTATGTTTTAGAAGCTCACTAAATGAAAGAACACAAAAAACCCAACCAACTTGATAGCAATCACATAACACACTGATAAATGTCCTCCTCTCATGACATGACATCAATAACTGAATCCTACTGTGATCTGATTGGTTCATTGCCAAAACAAGATGATACCTGATTGGCTCTCTAAACATTCATGCTCATTGGCTACAATTAGATGAAGGAAAGCTACCTGATATCAATCTAAGCAAGTTGTGCTTCCTTTTTCTGCTTATTTGGCTGTAACTTTTCACAGAATACAGATAATTGAACCACCTTTGTTGCATTACATTCTTGATTAAATTATCTTTCCATTGATATATAATTTTATGTACTACTCCAAAACAAAGTGGTGATATTAGCCATCAAACTTCAAAAATACACTTTTCCCAAAAGCTTTCCACAATTTTGGCCATTACTGTATAAAAGAAATGTGTATAGAAGGTAATATAAAACATCATACAAACTTAACTAGGGAAGTTTTATTGTTGTATTG